ATTTAAATGGAGCGAACATCTCTCTGATTTTTAATTGGATTCTAAAGCCCTCATTGGAATATGAGGTCCTTTTGGATCTATTCTTAGAACAGACAGCTGCCAGGTGATTTCTACCCACCACAGACAGTTTCTGCATTCTTTGCAATTTAGCTGAGTTGATAGAGGGGACCCTGTGGCTCTTTCTTGCCCTTGTTTTTTTTGTCTTTTTCCAAATGGCATTTGCATTTCTCACCTAGCTAATTTCCTGTCATCCAGAAAAGGAGGAAGAAAGAGCCTTTATCTGTGCTCTGGGCTTGTAGTTCTCCTCACCTCCCCACCATGAGGCCTGAGGGTGTTTCTGATTTACTGCTGAGGAAACTGAGCTCTGGGAGGACTGAGCAGCCGGTGAGGGAGAAGCTGGGACTGCCAGGGCGACCGCTCGAGCAGAGCCTCAGAGAGGAGGCGCCCAGCCACTTGGCAGAAGGGCAGCTGGGCAGGCGAGGCCAGGAAGGACAGGGCATGTCGGGCGGGTCGCAGAGGTTCTGGCAAGGGGGCGGGGTCCTGGGCAGGGCTCTCCCGAGGTGGAAAGCCAGTGTCTTGTTAGCCATCTCTCCCAGCTGCTAACCAACAGGCCAGGCCTGGTGCTCTAGCCTGGGGGGACCCCGAGGGGCTGGGCGAATTAGAAGCAGAGCCCTGAGCCAGGTTTGCCAACACTGTTGCCAAACTCGGATTAAACCGCCACAAGAGAAACCAATAACTCAGGAGACGGACATTTATGTCAGGTGCCGGCAGCGGGGTTTGGGCTCAAGCCTTAACAACTCACTTCTCCACCCACAAGACAGACATCTAGGGTTTTACAGAGAGGTTTGGGGGGGTGGTGGTACGTGCAGAACAGGCAGGATGGCGAGGTCATGGGTGAGGGCAGTGTGTGTTCAGCATGGTCAGGGGCAGGGGAGGGGGCACGTGGGGTGTGGTCTTCTAGGCGTTCTGTTGCTATCAGGGCTTTTTTGGCCTGGCGATTGGAATGGGCTAAGACAACCTCCCTCTCAGAAGTGTCTGGGTTTGGACAGTCACTTCTTTGCCCCCCCCCCCCGACCAATGACGCACGTGTGTGGGTGGCTACACGAGCGTGTGTCTCCCCCTAGATAGAAGCTCCCTGAGGGCAGGGGTCCTGCTTGGTTTTGCCAGCAGCTTGGCACAGCTCCTGCCATGGGCTGGGCTGCAGGTCCCCCGGGGCTCCCAGGGCCCCCTCCAGTGCAGCCCCCTGCAAAGGGACACTCCTCAGCCTGCTCTGCTCCTGGCCCAAAGCCCCACATCTCCATATAGGCAGGGTCTTTCTGGCCGGGCTTGGCCCTCAGCCCTGGCTCTCCCCCAAGGAGTCCTGCCCCAGGGCGCTGTGTGACACGGGGACCCAGCCCTCCTTCCCACTGGGACCCACGGGAGCTGCTTCCTCCAAATCCAGTTCCTGCCCAGGAGCCATAATCCCAGCCGCCCTTGGTGAGTGCCGTTCCCTGCAGGGGTGACCTGGGCCTTGGCTTGCAGTGAAGACCGGAGACCCCGGGGCAGCCTTTAAGGGAGCACGACTGTCCCCGTCTGAAAGCTGAAGATGCCGAGGAGGGCAGAGGGTGAGGGGCCAGCTCGGGAGCTCCTGCTCTTCCTGCGCCGCTGTGCCCCCTGAGACTTCTCTTTAAACACAGGGAAATTAAAAGGACACTTCTCTTCCATAGTCCCACCTCTCCCGGGCCAGACGGTGTCCCCAGATCCTGTCACCTGGCTGTGAAGGCAGGACTGCACTCAGTGCCGATGGCTCAGCGGGCCCTCCTGGGGCTGCGTGAGCGGTTGGACAAGAGGAGCAGATGAGGAGCCCAGCACCGTGCCTGCCGCACAGCAAGCTCCTCAGAGATGTGGCGGCTCCCTTGGATGGGGACAGGCCAGGACTGGAGAGGCAAGGAGCCGCAAATCCCTGTTCTGCCTCGGGCCACTGTCACTGGAGGTCGGAGCCGCCTTCCGGCGCTAAAAATGCTTCTGCGTCTGGAAATCTGTGAATCTTGGGCACCGTCCACCCTGTGTGCCACTAGATGGCGATGCTGCCTCTTCCTTTCCGGGGACTCGGGCGCTCAATCTCAGCTCTTAAGCAGTGACCCAGGTATTAGACCTGCACCCAGATCCCACACAGCAAGCCCCCTTTCTCTCACAAGGCCTGAGGAACGACACTCGGGGCCGCTGCGTGACCTGGGGCTGTCCAAGCCTGCTGCCCTCTCAGTTTTCCCAAGGTGGTCCCACCGCAGGCTCCTTGGGTCCCGATGCAGAATCAAGGTCATTGACAGGGGAGGAAGAGTGGGGTCCTTTGTCCCAGGGGATCCCCTCTCCAGTCCCTTAGGTGAGTCTCCACTTGGGCCAACTGAGGACATGACTTTTGGTTCAGGCATGGAGCCCAGATCACAAATCCTGCTAAATTTAGGAGCCGTGGCCCCAAACTGCGGTCATTTGGTGACCATCGTGACTTTTTATATCATTACCATAAATAAAAACTCAGTATTTCCTGTCCACAAGTAGAAGTGCAGAGCACAAATAATACGATAAAAAAAAAAAAAAAAACAGTATTTTTAAATCCAGTTAGACATGGCTGTCTTCCCTCTCCCTCCCTCCCCTCCCAAGAAAGAGGTGAGTAAATGCCAGGGAGGATTCCAGGTAGACTAGGCACCAAGCAGACACTCAAAGGCCCCCAAAGACTTTTGGAAGAACAAGAACTGGGAAAGGATTCAGTGAGGTCCTTGCTCTGTCCAAGAGCCAGCAGATTAGCGCCCATCTCACACTTTGGGAAATGCTTCGAGGGATTATGTCTCCAGACACACAAAGTGAACTCCTTCGGGCTCGTCGAAGGCAGGTTCTCCAGATGTGTTCTTGAGAGCCTCGCGATAGGGACAGGACCAGAAGGAGAGCCACGGGCAGGAAGGACTCGGAACCAGGCATCCTGGCCAGAGGAAGTGCCCTCGGTGGACAGGAGCTGGGCAGCTCCCCGGTGCAACCTGGTGACCCCTGAGCACAGTGATGTTGTGGGGACTGTCCAGGCTCTCTGCACCTTTCGGAGCTCCACAAATTCTTCATTAAACTTCTTAAAATTCAGATTTATAAATTCTTAACTGCCACAAAACCAGCCTATCCATAAATGTGATGTATCAAATCTTAGCGCATTGGAGCCACCGACCTGTCCGCCTGTGGGACGGGGGACTCTTGGTCTTGTTGAGCCCTGAACAGACCCAAGCTGGCCCCAAATCTGCTCAGTTGAAGCACACACTGGGAGAATGGTCTAAAACTAGTCCTTTGCAGCCTTTTATCTGCATGACTCAGCTCTCCCTTGGTACTGTGCAGCCACAGAAACGGGCAGGCTTGTCGAAACAAGCACCGGACATCCCAAACCCTTCGTTCCCAGTATGTGTGATCCTCACATCAGACTCACCGCTAAACCTGAAGATTTTAGCCCAAGACCTTGGGATCATGCAGCCAGCCCCCTCTAGGGAAACAGCTGATGGCTGATCTTCTAGAGGGGGGTGTGAAGTACCAGGAACAGCCCCGGGCAGGGGGGCACCTTGGAGGGCCTCCCGGATGGCTAGCATGCCAGCAGCCAACATGCGGCACCTCCGTCCCTCCAAACTCAACTCACCTCCTGCACTGGCACCAGCCGAGACCAGAGAAACCGTCCACATCTCTTGCTTCATGTCCTTGCATCAGAAAGCCCCGTGAGGGCCAGTGGGCTGTGTGCTGCCCCATCCGACAGGGACGCTGCTGGAGAGCAGAGGGAGGGCTGGGTCCTGACAGATTAGGTGAAGGGGGGAGACACATTCTCTTCATTGTCAGGTCCTTCCCTTCTGGCAGCGGAAATCCTGGAGATTCTTGCAGGACTAAGTACAGCTTCCCACGGTGCTGGTGTGGTTTACGAGGGACACGCGCATCCGGGCGTCGTGCGTGGGCCTCCCCGACATGACTGTGTTCAGGCATCATTGTTACATTTCTGACCTCCGCACACAAGCCATCCATAGCTTTACACAGGTGTCGTCTTCCATTTTTGTCATTTCCGGGGACTGCTGGTGACCACAGAGGCTGGGACATGCTTTATTTGGACCCAGATATGGGTCCCCATCCAGACGTCATCCCTTCTGAGCTGGGCGACCATTACTGAATGTACACTGAGTAAATGCATCCATTTTAATTTATAAAACAGATGTAAGCTAGTAAACGAATTCTTTCATTTTGAAATTTTTCATATTGGCGCTCCAAATGAGATTTTATGTGTGTGTGTGTATTAAACTCCTCCGTGGCTGCAGGGGGAAAACGTTTGGAAATGTTGGACGAGATGATTCGTGGGCCCTTCCGAATGGCAATGGCGAGCCCGGACCCTGGGCAGCCTCCTCCCTCTGCTGCTCGCCTGGTGGTGATGCCTCCGGGTCCTGCTGGTTTCAGTGCCTTCATTTGGGATTAGCAGTGGCTCACTTCCCTTTCTGCCGCTCCGTCCAGAAGATTCCAGTAAGTAGAGAAGGCCATCTGCCCCGTCCCAGGCCTGGGGGGCCATCTGTCCGAGATGCCCAGGATGCCCACAGACCTGGTGTCCTGGGTCTGCTCCCATACCGCACATGGGGAGACCGAGTCTTCCGGAGACTCAGACCCTGGCTCCAAGCTGCACCTGGAGCAGGTGCACGGGTCGTGGTGCTGGGCTGAACACGGAGGCGCCTGGCCCCAGACCGGAGCTCGGAAGCATGCAAGTGCAGGGCCTCTCACCCAGCCCCCTCCTGCCTGGGGCTCACCTTGGCAAGATATGCCCATTTTCGAGGTGTCCCCCCCGCCCCGGAGGCTGCGGATGCTCCAGTGGAGTCACTGCAGAGGGAGGAGCTGGGTCAGGCCAGGCCCCCGGGGCAGCACCGCTCTGAGGCTTCCCCTCCTGACCCCCCAGCCAGCACAGCTCAGGACTCTGTGATGCGACAAACAGGACAGCCTGACCTCTCCGGTTGCTACATTCAAGTCAGGGGAGGGGGTGTCCCCTGAAGGAGGACCAGCTGCACCGTGCCTGCTCCTCCCCAGCCAGCACTGGTCAACGGTCACCCTGCAGCACCCAGCCTGTTTGTCACCAGGTAAGAAGGGGGCCCTCGGCAAGGAGGGGCAGGGCCTTCTCCGGGGAAGCCATGGGGTCTGGTGTGGGGGCCTCGCTTGGCCAGAGAGGAGGAGACTCCAGAGAAGGGGCAGCTAGGCCCTCTGGCCCTCCAGTCGTGGAGCAAGCATGTGGGCTGGGCGAACCCCGGCATCGCACCTGCCGTTGTACCATCCTGGGGCAGTGCCGGGACCCCTGAGCCTCAGTCTCCCCAGCAGTAAAATGGGCTAACTCGTCCCACCCGCACAGAGCTCTTTCGTGGGCGGCCCCAGCACATACCCGCACATATGTGCAGAAGCTGCTCAGAACAGGACATTGACCTTTGTCGCCAGGCCCCATCAAAGCTAGACTCAGGGGCTCTCCTCAGGGCGCCCACCCCTCCTGACTCCCAGCACCGCGCCCTCCTCAGGGAGAGGCCCTCATCGACCCCCCTCCACCTGCCACAGTGGGGCCAGGGAGAGAACACGGCCAGGGGAAGGTCAGCCCTCAGGCCTTTGTCCTTCCGGATCTTTGGCCTCTCAACTTGGCTCTGTGTCAGGCAGACCAAGACAGGCCTTTGGTTTCCTGACTCAGAGGCTCTGAAATCAGGCCGGAGCCTCACATATGGTGAGCACGTCCCCCCAGGAGACCGTGTGCTTCACTGCGTGAGCGTCAAGCCCTGCGGAGGGACCACAGATCGGGCAAGGACACTCAAGGCCCCGATTCCTGCCTCCCCACCCACCCCACAGCCAGGGATGCTGTGGCCTCACTGGGCTCCTGACTATTCTCGAAGGTTCACGCCTGACTTTGGCTTACACTTTTCCACTAGCCGGGGTTTGTCTGTCCAGCTAACCCCATTCGAGACTCAGCCAGGGTACTGGCCCCACTTCCTGCCCGGAAAGGCAGGCTGCAGTCTGACCCCAGATCTCTCCCATCCTTCCTCCACAGCTCCTGGCTGCCCACGAGAGTCAGCTTTGAGAACGCTGAACCCCAGTGCAAACCCGAGTCCCAGGCCAGGGTCCCGCCCGCCCATGTCATCCAGTTCCACCCCAGAGAACACACAGCTGGGCTGGGCAGCGTCCAGCCCTCGGTTAGCCCTGGGCTCTGCCGGTTCCCTCAGCCCTACTCTACCCCCTCGGCCCTCAACTTGGTCAGGAGCCCCTTTTATGCCTTTTAGCTGCTCAGCCAAGATTGGGCTCTTCTGGTTTCTGACCCTGGCCTTGCCATTTACTGAAGGGGGGGGGTGATCTTGGGAAGATCATGTGCCTCAGCTTCCTCGTCTATAAAATCCTATAATGGCAGCTCCCTGGTGGGGAAGCGGAGGTGCCTTGTGATGTAATACGGGTGACATGCTGAGCTTCCTGGCAGGGTGAGTGGTCTGTAAATGGTGCCGCCCTTCATGACCCTGGCCTCGGGCGTTCTCCTACCCTCCGTTCTGGGGAGCAGCATGGCTCCGCGTCACTCCGCTCACACGGGGGCCCCTCACCCGCGATTGGGAGAACATGGCTCCTCCTGGGCAGATGAGGCCGAGCAGAGCCAGGCCGCGCCTCACACCTGCGCCCCGTGTCCCCTGACTTCTGGCAGCTCCGTCCTGGGTGGACACAAGCTGAGGAGGTGCTCTCGGGGGCCCAGGCGCTGCCTGCCACGCCCCCAGAACCACCTTCCCTGCCTCCCCAACTCCCAGGCCAGGGAGTGGGTGTGCCGCCGGCGCGCGGGAGCCTGAAGCTCAGGAGGAAACGTGGTCCTGGACAAAATTGCCTTTTGGTCAGATGTTCACGTGCCTGTGGTCCCTTCTGTGCGAGTGGCCGGGGCTGTGGTACCGCGTAACCGCGAGCGGGGGCTTAGAGCAACAGAAATCTATATTCTCCCAGTTCTGCAGGCCAGAACCTAAGATCACGGTATGGGCAGGACCAGCGGTTCTAGGAGAGGCTCCTCCTGCCTCTCCCAGCTCTCGGGGCCCCAGGCATCCCTGGCCTGTGGCCAAGTCCTCCTGTCTCTGCCTCCGTGGTCCCATGGCTTCCCTGTGTCTGTCAAGTCTCCTCTCCTATAAGGACACTGTCTTTGGATTTAGGGTCCGTGCTCAATCCGTGAGGATCTAATCTCTAGATCCTTAATTGATTATATCTGCAAAGATCCTTTTTCCAAATACGGTCACACGTACAGGTTCCTGGGGTTAAGACGTGGGCGTGTCTTGGGGGAGCCCCCACTCCCGTCTCCTCTCTGTCCGAGATGCGATGGGGTCTCAACACTGCCTCGGAGAGAGTGTGGGGTTTGCACTGTAACAGTTCCCGTGGACTAGCTCGCGATCTCCACCAGCAGGTGCCTGCTGCCCCCTCCGGCCATTCTCCGAGCCACTTGCTGGCAGATGGGAGGTGGTGGGAGGGGGGCTGGCCGAGCGGACATCCAGGTATCTGTGGCAGATAGAGAGCACCCAGGCCTACCCCTCGGTTACAGATGAGAAACCTGGGGCCGGCTGTGCTTTGAAGCTCCTCTGCTCTTGCCCTCTTCCTCGGACTCCTTCTGACCATCACAGCAGCCTTCCGGCCTTCTCTGTTCCGTAATCCCCACGGGAGCCATCCCTGCGCCATGAGCCCTCTGCCTCCCCACTCCCAGACTGCCCTCTCCGCTCGCTGCACCCTGAGCCCCTCTGGCTTCGGCCTTCCCTGCCCCCACCCCTGCAGTCAATCTCCCTGTCGCCCAGCTCCTCTGGCTGATGCCTTCGGCCTTTCCTCCCCCCCTTGCAGAAAACCTCCTGATGATAGACAGGGCTCGAGGCTTCTGTGCCCACTCCACCCGCCACCGCACCCATCCTCAGTTTCGCATTTGCCCTTTGCTGGCTCACCGTCCCCTCCTCGGATCTCCGAGCCCCACCAGGAACAGGCAGCATGGTCTGTCCCCCGTGCTCCTGACCACGCAGAGCACCAGCCCCACACTGGCTGAATGAATAGAATGTGACCCACCCCAATTCTGTGCCCAGAAAGTGGCTCCCACGCTGGTGTTCTCCTTGGCCCCCACCAGAAGGAAAGCCACATGCCTCCTCCCGGGGCGCCAGGGGCTTGAAGTCACCCGGTAGGCGCTGACCTCTCTGACACTGTGTCTCTAGTGACAGAAAGGTCAGTCCCAGAGGAAGGAGCCCAGGAGAGTGCTGCCCTGGTGATCTCTTGCTTAAGGAGCACCCATAGGCTCAACTTATCTAATCATGTTTATTGAGCACCTGCAATGTGCCAGGCCCTCCAGGAGGCTCGAGATCCACCAGGGAACAGAAGAGAAAACACCCTGCCCTAAGGAAACTTGCATCCCAGTGTGGGGTCCAGACAAACAAATGAACAAGTAAGTGTGTAGTACATGAAGTGGTGGTGAGGGCAGATAGAGAAACACAGCTGGATAAGGAGGGTGGGAGTTACTCTTTCATACACCGAGAAGACATTTGAGCAGAGACGTGAATGAATTGAGGGAACAAGTCACGTAGACATCTGAAGGAAGAGCATTCTCGGCCCAGGGAATAGCAAGTGCAAATGCCCTGCGGAGGGAGTGTGCCGAAAGCAGCGAGGAGCCCAGAAGGGCAGGGAGGTGGGAGAGGAGGTCAGACGGGTGAGGAGGGCAGGTCACAGAGGACTGGTTTGGACCCCTGGCTAGAGGGAAGTCATCAGAGGGCTAGGGACACCATCTGGCTTTGGGTGGTGTGGTCATCCCAGCAGTCGGGTGGAGGATGGGCTATGGTCAGAGCAAGACCAGTGCCACATGCCCTGTGCGGTTGGGAGGCTGTGCGGCAGTCTGGGGCAGAGACTTGGCAGCTGCGGACGTTGTGCAAGGTGGTCAAACTCCAGATGGTCTTGCAGGTAGCGTTGGTAGGGTTTGCTGATGACTTGGGTGTGAACCAAGGAGGAGTCAGCCTTGACTCTGAGCAGTTGGAGGGAAGGAAGGACAGTTCTGGGGAGCAGTTCTGGGCCCCACAGGGAGCTGAGGCTGGGCTGCACCTCCCCTCTGCCAGTTGCTGCCTGCCCCTTCCGGCCCCCGCCAGAGCCCGAGGATCACGCAGAGGGACACTCCGCTCCTCCCCACCTGGCAGGAGGCAGCAGGCCTGCCGGGGCGCATGCAGCCTGCAGGGGTGGGCAGGCCTGCCAAATCCTCTTTCCAGGGATGTGGTCACAGTGGTAGAGACACAGAAGCTCCCAATCAGGGGCCTGGACAGGATCCAGAACCCCTGGGCCTCTGCCAGCCGCAGACTCTTCCAAATCAGGGTGTGTGCGCAGGGAGAGGTGGGAGGGAGCAGTCAGAATGGAAAAGACCCAGAACCCGAAGCCGGTTGACCTGGTTTCTAGGCCTGGCCCTGTCTCCTGGGCTCCTCCATTGAGGAGGAGAGTGGGGAGGTTGGCAGCAAGGATTTCAGCAGAGCTTACCACATGCCAGGCTCTGTTCTCTCTACTGAGAGAACAATCCTGGGTGATGGTTGCTATTTTTATCCCTGTTTTACCCATGAAGAAACTGAGGCCCAGAGCTGGTAAGTCACTTGCCCCAGGTCACTCTGTTGGGAAGTGGCCCCTGAGGCGTGTTGCTCACCACGCTGCCTCTCAAAGCCCCATGAGGCCGGCCTCCGCCCACAAACATCCCCCGTTCCCCAGCCCCAGTCCCACTGCTGTCCTCACACCAAGCCTTCCAGCCCCAGGGCCTTTGCCTGTGCTGTTCTCTGCCTGGAGTGCTCTTCCTGTGGCTGGCTCTCCATGCACTCTTCAGGTCTCAGTGGAAATGTCACTTCTTCAGAGACATTCCCTGACCACCCACCTTTCCCCAAAATCCAGACCTCATCTTGCTCCTCCGCTGACACCTCAGCCATTCAGTAAAGCCTCCCAGGCTCGGAGTACAATGGTGAGCACAGAGAGCAAGGTCCTCCCTGCGCCCTCACCTCAGAGACAGAGCCCTACCACCAGCTTTCACAGAGGAACCCACAGGGTCATCCTGACCCCTCACCCCTCTCCCGCCTTTTAAATACACGTGAACTCCTTG